GTAAATCTATTTTCTATATGTAAATTATTAGGTTCTTTTATGTGTACGTATATTATTAGATGACCGACTTCTAAATATTTATAATTCAAAAATTATTAAAATATCGATATTTTGATTATTTTAAAAATTTTTGTCTCAAAATAATTAATAGGAATATGTTCTTAAGAATTGTTATATATAGGACGTCTTTTATATCTGCGAAACGACTTGATAATTATAAGAATTTCAACTTTAATTTTTATAACATGACGTTCTTATACTGTTAAAAATATATTAAATTTTATGAGTGATAAGCGCAAAAAATGTGTTTCTATTATAAAATGTATAATTTTTGCACTTATTATCCGTGTATTTTTATATACTTTTTTTCATGTGATAGGTTATTAAGTTAATCTGCCGGTTTAAAAGCAGCAGATATTATTTCTTAATTTTCTAAAAGCATTATAATAAATTACGAAAGTTATCTTATCCAGTTTTCCTAAAGCGAAAGAAAAGTCTTTATATGGTAGATTTTCGCTGCACAAAGATTTGGTCTTACGCATTATACCTTCTTGCAATATTAATTTAGCAAAAAAGAAAAAAGAAGGGGAGAGAAAAAAGTATTGTCGACGCTATTAATTCGATTGAATGAGTTTCGGATTACAGGCCTCAGGGATCCATTATGTATTAGCAGGATCGATTCTGTAAGATTAAGGATAGGGACGATCGCAAGAAGCCGCCGACTCAGCCACGGAAATCCCGAACATAATTTTCTCCATACGAGTTTCAAATCTCCCGAGATAATGCGATGCTGCGTTGGTGCACGAATATACGGCTTGTAGGAACACAACTTACGAGCAACTTTACAAATGTTTCTCTCTGTGTGCCGTTCTCTTATGTTAAAGATTACCTAGAAAATTGAGGATTTTATTACAAGAGAACAAAATCTAGATATGTCAAAAACTATATTAATACATATTCCCGTTAAAAAAAAAAGAAAAAAGACATTTTTTGTTATATTTATATTTATATCGTTTATTATTTTAATATTATAAATGGTTTTTAAATTATAAATTGTATGTACTGATATCAATGTAAATTAATTTCAATCTCCCTTTAACTTACTTCATATCTTCTTCTAATTTTAAAAAAAGAAAAAGATAAATTAAACCGAGATTAAAGTTAATTTATATAGAAATGGGTCTAATACCCGTTTCTATCAATGTAGATTAACTTTAATCGATTTAACTTATTTTTCATCTTCTTCTAATTTTTAAAATTAGAAAAAGTGAAGTTAGTTGAATCGAGATTAAAATTAAAACAGATGTAAATTAAAAAACAAACATTTAACGTTTAACATTATTCAATTTTAACGTTATTAATTTAATAGCCGATTGCTTGTGAAGAAGTACATTTTTATTCTATCGACGTTGAGCGTACATTGCTTTTATGGCCATTCAGTCATCACAATCAGTTACGCATTGTCATAGCCATCATTTGTATTCGTCAAGTGAAACGAAGAGATCGGATAAGAAATATTGGAGAGGTCTATGAAATATTCAGTGAAACGTAGTAGGACGATGAATGGACAAATGTCTGGCGGTTGTTCCGTGAAAATCTAACTGCGATTGTCGAGATTAATCGAATCTCTCGCAAACGGTGTAATTATCATTAATGGTGGGCCAACTGATTGTGAGACTTGAAAGTCCCCGTCGCGTGGAACGACCCGAGCGATCATTTCGCTTCTTTTAACACTCGTAGCTTCTTCAATCTGCCGGCAATGTCTAAAAAGCTGAAATTGTGGCCAAGTGGTAGTAGTGGTGTAGGAAACGCGCTTCTACCGCGCGCTTCCACGAGACAAAGCCGGATTGTTCTCCGCTGCGCGTGGAGGAAGAGGTGGATCCTAGGCTTCCTGCAAACTGAATCCCACTGCCTCCTCTTCCTCCTCCTTTTCGTCCTGCTACCTTTACCACGATGTTCGTAGCGAAAGCTCGTTATATTTAAGCTGAGAAATATACGTGTATGCGCCAGTTAACGCGACTGTTACACGTGACTTGGTTGGCGCATTCGCTACACTGCGTGTGTTGGTATT